CGATTGGCCAGCCCGAATTCGAAACAATTGACAGGTGTCGTCAATTGTTTCACATTGACGACACCGAATCGACCAGTTAACTTGAGCTTTGCTGTAATGGCCGAAAATTGCAAAATTACATATTTAATTACTGAAATGTGATTCCGTTTCTTTTTTTAATTAGACGTTTTGCTGTTTTTCCCCACACCACCGAATGGAACAGCACGCCATTGTTAGAGATATTATCTTTATTACAATAAACACAGAATATTTTTGGAATATACGGAGACGTACACACAGGTCAGTTGTTGGGCTGTCTTTATTTCAGTGCAAACGAGAGTTGATATTTATAAGAGCTGTATCGCTAATGTGTTACCAGGAATGTATGGCCCTTATTTCGTCTCTATTTCTGGTTATATACTCGATGGTTATCATTCAGATCATTCGAATACGAAAATTAGTAAGTTACTAATTTGTTATTCGAATGACAGGATTAGTGATTACTAATGAGTCGAATATCATTCGCAATCGCGAATGGCTAACTGACTTAACTTCATAATTAATTTTTATTAGTTATACGCACGACTGCACTCTAGACTATTATAACATCCTGCGTATCACTTAAAAATAAGAATATAATAATGCACACTCTTATAGCCCGTACTCCCGAGACCCTGTATCGCGGGTGCCATGGACTTGCACACACACATAGACAACCACTAATTATACTCAAACTCACGAGAGAAATAATCTCAGTACAGAGTACTAAAAAAACCGACCTCAAAAATTCGTGGAATTACATCTATTTGCCAAGTTTTTAACCGACTTCAAAAAAGGAGGAGGTTCTCAATTCGACTGTATGTTCTTTTTTTTTCTTTTTTTTTGTATGTGTGTTACGCGATAACTCCGGTATTTGTGAACCGATTTTCATGATTCTTTTTTTGTTGGAAAGGGGGTACTTCCATAGTGGACCCATTTCATTTTGAAGAAAATCATCCACCGCAGAGGGTGGCTGTTCACGCATGAAGATTCATTTTTATAAATAGCGCCTAACTTTAATTTAGGAGCAATTACTTTTAGCAATCATTTAGTTGATTTTGCTATTTCTCCAATTCAAGGCGTTTTTCTCTCGATATACTTTGAGTAGTGTTGTAGTGAGAACCTATTTTTATTATCTCCAGTATCAAGTCCTGTATAGTGGCGAACTAGGGGATATTTCAATGAAACTTAGCAAATAGACGTAATTCCACGTACTTTTGAGGTCGGTTTTTTTAGTACTCTGTACTGAGATTATATTGAAATCGATTATTGGAAAGGGCGCGAAACCAGATTGATCCCCTAGTTTGCCATCCTTAGAAGTGGAATATTTTCTTCAAATTTAAATGGGACCACTACCGAGGTATCCTCTTTCCAACAAAAAAAAGCATCATCAACATCGGTTCACAAATACCGGAGGTATCGCAAAACATACATGAACAAATAGAGTCGAATTGAGAACCACCTACTTTTTCTGAAGTCGGTTAATAAATGTAGGCCATACAAATAATTCTCCCGGCCTTCTTGAGTGGCAGACCAGCATGGCAACCGTTCGGCCACGGGGGCGGTTAATGAAGCAGAGCATACTGAGTGACGGGGCTGTCAGGGCTCTGGCGCGATGTTTCCGTCGAGTCATCGCCGCGGAAGCTCATGACCAACGACCACGGATTGACTTGAAACATGTCGAGCAAAAATTCGACTTAAATACGTGAGTTTAACGTTACTTTAGTTAATATGGTACACAATATAATAATAATGTAAATGGAGAATAAATTATAATTATTGTTTTGGATATATATTTTAGATTCTCGCCTATCCCAAGGCCTAAAAGATTAATTTTGAAATCGGAGTGGCGGTATTCCCCGACAATGGCACAGTCGGCCGGGGTCAGGGACTCAGATTCAAGAACCGGCGAACAATACGTGCCGTATCGAGGAGGACCGCATTTGTACTGGAAGCGACACGCCACAGAAATCCAACCGCCTCAAGCTGCGAACAAGGCAACCTGTAGTACTGGTGCTGTAGTGCATCCGGGGCAGCTCACCTAAGGCACTAGCCTTACAGGGAACCGGATGAGTCCGTGGAAACAGGCTGATCTGGGGTTAGAACCTGACCTAGATGGTCCCTGCGCGGGCATGCTAGCGCATATGTCATAGTGCCCTTCCCGTAAACGTCGGTAGGGAGAGAAAGTATAACCAAAACTAATGTAGAAAGTTAGCAAGGCTGACTGGCATTAACCAATTTGCGGGCAAAACAATTGGAATTATTTATTTATTAATATTATTATATATCTAAGTCTCATGATAGTTTTCTATTTAAAATATGTTTTGCTCCTGCAGTTATATTGTAGCTCTTATGTACGACGGGCTTAAAATTAAATCAATTTCTTCATCCAACCGCATCTTACTTCACAAAAGAAAGCGTGCTTTTTTTTAAGGTCATTGAGGTGCTTTTTATACATAGGAATCAATATTTATAGTTAAAAGGCAACGTTGAAAGTTATATTTACTTAATAATCCTAAGTTTTAAAATGGTTTCAAAAAAACAATAAAATACAAATACTCTTGGTTCTTGGTTAAAACTGTGTTGCCCGAATGGAGTTTACATTTCTATTTAAATTTCAATAATCAAATAAATGACGTAGTATCGGTCATTCTCGAGTTAGAGGTAATTGTTTAATTTATTGTTAAATATTAATTAATATTCGAGTATAGTATATACTTGAACACTTAAATAATAATAAAAATGACCAATATTGGTATTTTAGATTTAACTTATTTAAAAAAAAAAACAATTAAACGTCGTTCTGTTAAAAGACATAAAACAGAAACATGTTCGTATTAAAAACCTACGGTTTTTTTTTTCAATATCTAAAAGTCAAATTTAGAATTAAAAGTTTCAGCAGGTATGGTCAAGGCTTAAAGAAGAGATATGCTGGATATCAAATTAATTTTACTAACAAATGTCACAGGTAAAGAATACTATAACATTTTATATCAAATAACGGAAGGAACTAGCTCGAATTCAATTTTATTCCCGTACTAATACGGTTTATTATGTTTGGTCGATTGGCAGGGACACTGGCTTCATTTCGTACGTATTTAGTTTACTTAATTTGTTTCACAATTATATGTATGTATATAATCTGTATAATTATTTATCACGCTTATAGACACCCCGTGCTCTGTTTTTATTTTAATGTATAAATCGAGGATAACTGTTACTGGCTTTGTAATATGTAATTATTTTTTTGTAACCTATCATTATTGCTGTTGTTATCCCAAATAAATAAATAAATAAATAAATTTCAGAATTTATTTTTTCACAAACGAAATTTAAGCCATTTGAGAAATGTATATCGTATAGTATACATGTTCTATTTAGTTCAGTTGACATAAAAAAAAATCATTGGTAAAATTTCGAGGTAAGTGTTTTTCCTATCGTGAAAAATTTTTAGGAATAATGTTTTCACACCATATAGTAATCAGTTTACGTCCTCAATTTTACTATATATTTCTTCACGTTCAACACGTTCACTGTTGTGCGGAATCAACCAAAGCCATTTGATGTTGCATAGACTTGAGGGACATTGCTACTGGGCCCGTTACCCTCAGACATAAAGTTGACAAGACAAACATAAGCAACAATTACTAGCTTATTATTAGTATTTGTTGCTTATGTCAAATTTTAGTCGCTTAGTGCCTAAATGTCTAGTTATTTTAATTTTGATTTTTGTTGTACGTAACATGTAACATATTTATTATTTGAATTGTGGTGTTCCATATTATGACGGGCCATGACAGAATAACAGCGAGGGCTATGTAATCTACATAATCCTCACAGGCTGAGTCATGGAACCTTTTGACATGCTTTTATTTTTCTTTTATTTTTTTAAATATTTTATTATTGTGTATGCTTCTTTTTTTATTTTAATTGAATTTATTTTTATTAATTTTTTGTTTGAAATTTATGCATGTCAAATAAAGCCTATTTTTTTTAAGTCCCATATCTCTAGTTTCATCAGCACCCTTACCCTTCAAAGCTGGAACGCAGTAATGCTCACATTACTGCTTCGCAGTAGAATGCTCTCGTCATATCGTTTAATGAATGTTAATCATCCATTCTCAATCGGCTACGATTTACAGCGTCAGAAATCGATTTAGCAAATTGTGTAAAATGCTATAGTATCTGCATTATCTGTGGTACTTGAAATTACTAATTTCTAGATTTTAAAACTTTCGTTGTTATCACTAGTTACAGGTTTGTTACCAACGGTATGACTTTAGTGTGGTCTTATCAAGGTATGACTTTAGCGTGGTATGTCGGGAAAAAGTGGGTAACGCCGCGAGATGTTAGGCGTCGACAATACAAGAGAGTAGACAGATGTAGCTTTCGTTTATATTTTTTTTTTGCATACCTGTAACTAATGATAATTTTTTAAACATATCTTACTGTTAACGTGAAATGTCAAAATTGCCGCCAATTTATTTTTTCTTATTTTTCTTTGTTTTTCGCGGTTAACTAAGCACAAGATGTTTTGACTTGCTTTTAAAACAAGGAAACTTATAATATCATAGTAATGAAATTAAACTTAAAAAAAAAATTGATATCCGCTTATCTCTGTCAATGAGTAATAGAAATAATGGAGCGTTTTCATTTGCAAACTACTTGCACACAAATATATTGCTAATGAAAATGGAAGTAAGTTACCTTATTCCTGCACGAACCCAATGATAGTTAAAATGTGGAAAAGAGCTGGGCTTGTGTGGAGTGGATTTTTTTAGTAGGCAGATTTTAGGATTGAGTTTCATATTATCGTATGGACGTTGAATCATTTGAAGTTCTAACAGTATTCTGAATGTTATTGCAGGGTCATTCAATAGACGTTTTTTAAAATTTTGGAAAGAGCACATCATGTATGTTTTTCTTGTGATACTAATAATAATAAATTTACTTTATTTCGGACAAATATCCATATTGCGTATTATATTCTGCATTGTGTTTAAGCTAAAATATAGAAACTTTCAACTGGTGAACATGGTAGCATATTGAAACCGCCTGCCTGCTAAAAAACGCCATACTTCAAATCTACGACATATGAACTTGTATACAAGTAGCCAAGCCAATGCAAACACTCCTATGGTCTTTTTTTTAAATCTACGGGCACAAACCTACACAGCCAGCAATATATTTTCCACGCAACTGGCAACCCCAGGATCAGACGTGTTTATTCTTATTGTAGCCAGCCTTCCGTCTTTTGAAGTTCCCCATTTGTCTTAAAATTTGTGTGTTCTCATCTTCCACTTCGACAGCCATGCCGGAGGTGCCAGGCACGGTGCCCCAAATTTTTAGTTTTGTTGGCAAGTAAATTAATCCTAAAAGAGTTATAGCTGAAAAAAAAAAAGAATATTACTATGCAGTACTTTTTCAATATACTGTTTTGTTAAAGTCAACAATGAGAGAAAATTTAAACATAATGTTGAGTCTCAATAGAAAGTCAGCGGAGTGCCAGAGAGGGAGTGTCGTTCATTCATCCATTCAATCACTAACTATCAATGTTCATCATTATCATCATCATCATATTAGCAGGAAGACGTTCACTGCTGAACATAGGCCTCCCCCGCAGATTTCCAAACTAGTCGATCAGACGCGATGTGCATCCATCGGTTACCTTACCAGGTCATCCGTCCATCTAGTAGGGGGCCGTCCCACTGAACGCCTTCCGGTTCATGGTCTCCATTCCAGAACCTTTCTACCCCGACGGCCGTCAGTTTTTTGTGCTATGTCGGTGACTTACGTTCTTCTACGGATCTCCTCATTTCGGATTCGATCACGTAGAGAATTGCCGAGCATTGCCCTCTCCTTAGGTCGTGACTTTGAGCATTGTTACGATGCCCATAGTAAGTGACCACGTCTCAGACCCGTCGTTATCGCTGGCAACACGGACTGTTCGAAAACTTTTGTCTTCAAAGACTGTGGTATTGCGGACGATCAATGTTGCCTTATTAAAACTACCACGGAAATGAATATCTTAATTTTTATCTCGTTTAATCAACAATTTAGCTTTCAAATTAAATATAATATATAATATTAGTGAATTACACAATCTAAGTGCCACTGACTCGCCATAAGACCAAACATACAAAATCCTACCAATAACACTAACTTGGAGCCTTAATAATTTAATTGTTACTTTTCGTTTGGGTTACAACAATAAACATTATGAAAATAAAATCACTACTCACTGTTCAAAATGCAAGGGAACACAACATAGAAGTTGAGTGTGGTGGAATGAAAGTACAGCGCTTCGCTGAAGTAGAGTATTATTGAAAGCACTAGAGACCAATAGCCCATTGACACGACCCTGAAAAATAACCAGAAAACGTTTGTCATACCAAAGTATAAAGCTCGGTACAGGTTATTTGTAACGCAACACGAACATCTATGGACAGTACCCGCTCATGCTGCGTGTTTCGAACTACGAACACCCGTTCCCGGGTCTTTCGCGAACACACAATTTAGTTGCGAATGGACGTCCATACATATCACTGCAATTTGGCACTTGTTTTTTTTTTAGAGAACTAAGTAAACAGTCGAATCATCGTCGTTCAGCTATTGACCGCTAGATGTCAGCACATTGAATTTCAATATAATCGAAACGTCGTGACTTGCAATAAGTTATTGAACTTTCAACGATATGTCGACAGTGTAAAATTTAAATTATATTAACAGTGTTTATAAATTATGAACGAATGTGTGAGTTGTGGTGATCAACAGCAGTTCTGATAGTAATCAAGGTTTCATGCACTTCCATTGTTTTTTTTTCTTCCATGTATGACACAGATCTGTTTATGGTGCTAGGTCTCATTACAGATGATCACATAATAATACGAAAAAAATCTCAAGATCTGAGTTGCTAGCTGAAACCTAGAGCTTATTACTTAGCATGGAACTATATCACATGCAATGTGTGATAAACCTCCCCGTGATATACACACATCAAAAAAAGTTTGCGATCACTTCGAAAAACTGAAATCTTTTTTGTTACTGTAGATTATATTATGATTTTTTCTTCTTTTTAGATTCTTTATTTAAAAATAAATTAGAACATAAAACAATGACCCCGTTCAATTGTTTTTTCATATAAAAAGGCTTTCAGTCCTAGCTTACGCTCATTCAGAAATCTGATTTAGTCAATTATAAGCGATTCAAGATATTTTTCGCGGAAAGTTGTGATTGAAAAAATGCCAAGAGGATTATCAGAGGTTTTACGAGCTAGAATAGTCACTTTGAGGGAAGAAGGATACACCACGAGAGTAATAGCACACAGACTTGCTATACCCCAATCCTGTGTCGTGGCTACGTTGCAGAGGTATCACGGAATGGGGAATTTAGCTGACCGACCCCGCAGCGGTCGCCCAACTGTTTTGACAGCTGCCCAAAAGCGCTATATTAGATTGCTGGCAGCCCGTGATACAACAATCAACGCCACTAAAATAAAAGCAGAAGTCAGGGCCGCCTCTGGGCTTGAAGTTAGCACGCAGACCGTTCGCAATTGCTTGCACCAGGCTGGATTACGAGCACGGAGGTCTTGGCGAGCTCCGCTCAATTCCCGGCAACGTCAACAACGAAGATTGCAGTGGGCTAGACTTCGGCAAAATGAAGAAGGTGAGGACGAAAACATTTGGCAAAACTGTCTCTTCGTTGACGAATCCCGAATCAGCACTCATCCAGATAACCGACGTGTCCGTGTCTGGAGAAGACCAGGCGACCGTGAAAGACAAAGAACTGCCACTGGAACAGTTCAGCAAGGCGGAAAATCGGTGTCCTTTTGGGGTGGCATTATGATTGGAGCTACAACGCCTTTGATCCCGTATCGGGGCTTCATGACAGCAGACATGTACAAAGCAGTTGCTATTGATGATATAGTCAGACCATTCCGAGTAAACCATGGGCACCAATTTGTAGTGGTCGATGATAATGCGCCCGCACATCGAGCTCAACGAGTCAATGCTGCTCTTCAAGAATACGATATCACACGATTAGACTGGCCTGCCGGCTCGCCCGACTTAAACCCAATAGAGCACGCGTGGGATGCTCTTAAACGAGCAGTATGGAACCGTGAGCCACGTCCCCAGACAGTTCCAGAGCTCAGGGAAGCCGCTATTGAAGAATGGGATAGGTTACCCCAGGAAATGCTGGATAACTTGATCCTCAGCATGCCCAGGAGGATCTTCGCATGTATTCGAGCCAGGGGAGGAGTTATTTTATATTGAATTCACACCTTTTAATAATAAATTGTTGTTTAAGTTTAATTAAACAGTCTTTTTCTTTCTATGAAATTTCTATCACTATTACATTATGATTAATGGCTCAATTTTTTAAAATAAATAATAAAAAATAGTTTTATATTTTAATTTCAAACAGGGTATTCCTATTTAAAGAAAGCATACAACATAGATTTTTTCTTGATAAAGTTAAATTTAAAGAATTATAGGAGCTTATGCTATTGATCGCAAACTTTTTTTGATGTGTGTACTTGTTTAAGTTGATAAAGCTATGTTGCCATTATTAAAATTTATTTTTTTATTGCGAATACCGAATCGGTAAGATACCGCACTTGAATCATTCGTTTTTTTGTTCACTTGGTAATACAAAAGAATGAAGAAAAAATCGTCGCCGCGAAAACGACGAAAGTAAAAATTTTTGTAGTTCAAGTTTTACATAATTTTACATTACATTACTTATTTTTTACGCATTTCTGTTTAATCTGATGTATTGAACGGTATTAAAAATGTTCTCCTTACCTTTTTCCAATAATTTACATTGTGACAATTTGATTTTATTATTCATTTTGTATCTTGTTTGTCACACAAAATTTTTACATTGATAAAATTACTGTGCAGAACTGTCAAAGTATTTAAAAATCAGCTGTGACCTTGTGGCCATGTCAGGCACTGCATTATTCTTATATTCAGTCTTTGGTTGCGGCGCGCGAGCTGCGACATAAATGTGACATCACGATGCTCGCCATGTTAGCTATTGTGTTGAAATTTTAAAATTTCGGTTTTATCACTCAAATTTGACAGCTAAATATGGATATAACAGTTTTATCGTGGTGGCATGCAACAGGGGCAGATGGTCTAATTACATACTTGTACACCATCAACTTGGTGTGTGGTGCAACTGGAGATCATTATTAAATTTATTAATATACTCACGGTCTATAATGTATGTAGAGAGTGCAATGTATGAGGGCCAGTGCTTTTAAAACTGAGTACATCCCCAACATGCGAGACAGCGTAAAGTCGCCTGAAATTATAAAACATCATTTATCTCTCCCATTATTAATAACATACATTGTTTCAATTGAAATTCTAGTGACGAGTTTTTCAAGCTTATCATTCTCTTCACATCTTCCAACATTATAAATAACACAGAACGAACGTAGTTTATTTTGAACCAAGTTTAAAAAAGGAGGAGGTTCTCAATTCATCTGTACTTTTCTTATGTCTATGTTACGCAATTACTCTGGCTGATTTTCATGTTTCTAACGGAGGCAAATTAGATGTATTCAGTTTTTTGGATTCCACACACTTTCCGTAAATCAATTTCAATAAAACTTTGCAAATCAATGTGATTTCGCAAACTTTTAAAGATGGTTTTTTTAAAATAATTAACTTAGTTATTTTTACTTATGTGCTTGAGTTAAAGTTAAATACAAATACAAAAATCCTTTACTGCCACAATGACACTTTTTGGACTTAAATAACATGTTAAGCCAAGACTTAAACAAACAATAAACGGTACGCCATACATGTCAGAGGGCAAAATGAGATGTTTCAGCTCGAGCTGCCTGGAACCACTGTTGTCGCAGACAGCGCTGTTTTTCAGCCACCTCCTTGTACCTAAAGTCTTGGGCGAGCTTAAAAGCAATGAGTAAAGTTAAACCTTAGACGTATTGCATGATTCCCATAAATTTCAACTGCATAGAAATATCAAAACAGCTTGAACTGAAATGCAGTCAAACAACAGTTCGAGCAGTGTGTGCAAATGCATAGGTACTGGCTGGAAATTAGTTGTACTAGTCGTGACGCAATCAAATTGCCATTGGCGGGAAGTTATGTCTACTATCCAAATTGCAAAATAACAGATTGCAGCGCGTGTGTTCTGTCACTTACTATAAAGGTATATCTCGTAGCACATTACAATAAATTTAAGTTTAAAACTTACCATCCAAATGCTCATCACCGTTATGGCTCAAAAACGATCTCCTCTCAATATAAGACCGGCCGGCGGTCCCCAAATCCATAAATGCAACAAATGCAATCCAACCACGAAAAGCGTATAAAACTTTATTTTGCACCGCCATTTCTCTCTAAAATCGCATAAGTATTACCATATACATAGATTATACTACATTTAATCTAGTTATCTCTAGTTATACCTACTTTTCAGCACTAATTTTAGCCGCAAACACCAAAATAAACATAAAAAAAGTTCGTCCAATTACCCGGGTTAATTATGTATAATTTAATTATATAGCGTGTGTTTCTGAGTCGTAACTAACGCGCTAATGGTTCAGAGTGCATCGCACTGCGGCATTTTGCCTGCAATAGGTACTTTTCATATAAAAATATATTATAATTAGATGCGAATAAAATCCACGAAACGCGAAAATCCGAACTAGAATATCACCATAGATGTCATAAATGACGTTCGACCGCTTTTAGGTAAGAAAAAATACAAAGTATGATAATAAGGAATAAAGCAAATGTATATCGTTCTCTCTTTTCTTCAAACTTAAACACACATGTACCAGTACATTAAGTGCAAATTTCTGTTGCCATTACAAAAATAATTTAAATATGTAATGTCTTATGTCTTTTGTTGTTAGAAATTAGGCCAGAGAACAAATTAGCTGTGTGTTATGTAAGGCGAAACTTTGTACATTATATTCTCTCTTTTATTCTCATTATCTTACTCAATATTACTAATGTTAGAAAAAGATAGAATAAACAGAGTCAATTCTACAAAAACCGAAATTTGAAAATTACGTGGCCGTAAAAAAAACAAAAATAAATTCGCGCCTTTTATGAAAAACTTCACGGAGTTCCCATAAAATTATGAGTTTATGCGAAAAGACTATTCATTAACATAAAAATAAAGAGCCTGGGATGGACGAGTATATTTGTAAGTATTTTACAACTAACGAGTTACAAACTCGTTTTTACTTAATATAATTTTGTTTCACATACACATTCATTCAAATTTAATATCCTCGATGATAATTTTGTATAATGTTGATACTTTCATTGCATCTATACCTTTTTAAAATGCGGTAGTAATGGTAAACGCAAAACTACAACTGATATGAATTCGGTTACTTGTTGGGGGGCTAGTAATATTAAGGTAGTATTCCAGAACTCTACTCAATACTCGAGTCAGGACTTGAGTATTGCAGTGACCACTGAAAATCATACTCAAGTCCTTGCCATTAGGGTCGTATTTCCAGTGCTTGAAATCATACTCAAGTCCTGACTTGAGCATTGAGCAGAATTCTGGAATACGACCCTTAGTTGTTTAGTACTATAGATATCCAAGGATCCTTATTTAAGTAACCGATTTTTATGTAAATAGTCTCGAATAAAATAATAATTATCGGTGGCTCTTCTATAGGTTTTTTGATAATCTTAGATAATATCGTAGTATAACTTAAATGAAATTTGTATATGATTATTTATATTGAACAGATTGTGTCTTCTGCAACGACTTGGTTTTTGAATATTGCTCCATTCATGGACCGCTTCTTATTATTCCCGATGACAAGGTTTGTTTGACCATGTGTGTAACTTTTTAAATTACTATAATCTGATAAAATCCAGCAAACTACAATGGGAAAAGCACTAAAAGTCATGTAAAAAAAACATTTGTAGATACCCTAAGGTCATGTAGAATATTATGGCGCTAAATTTGAATGCGATATTTTCATGCGCGCGCCGGGCGTTTTTGTGATCATAGGAACAACGTTAATTACTTCATCTATTATGTTACATATGTTGGGGTTGATAAAACTTATAACGAAGGGCGATTTGTTTATTGATTTATTTACGTTGAACAATTTTTGTCATTATCGCTTGGCCACTCTCAAACAGGTACAAGGAAAAACTGATTTACCTGCCTTTGTACCACGTGCGGCCCTCACCATTCCGCATGTATTTCTGCATCTCGCAACATCAATCATTCCAGGTAAAGCATATTTTGAGAGTCGAATGCTTAAGTCTATCTGAACCCCGATTTAGAACTCTTCGATATTTTAACCGAATTGTTCGATCTGCTCAAAACATTCGAGTTGAACGTTCGATTTGGATACGATATCGTTATCGAACAGCGTTTACGAGTAAAGGACTACACACACACATCAGGGCCGTGTCCGGGACGCCGACCCGAACACGGACATATGTGAACCAGTTCATATAAAATATACGCAACGATATTTTTTTGAACCCCTAATGCAGCACGGCCCGGATATGTGTGGATAGACCTTTAGTCGGTGAAATAGATTATAAGAAAAATGAAAATCCCTTTACATATAAATTTTTCAGACTTTAAAAGCTTAAAATATAGGAATGCATAAGTTTTACATTAAAATAAATTAATAAAATTGGACAAAATCCAGACTTTATTTAAAATAATAAGAGATTTCCATATTACATTCTTTCTTGTTAGTAATGTATCTTTAGTTATTGTAATTTGTGTGTCCGTTATAATTAAAGTAAAATAAATATATAAATAAAAAATAACAATTCTTTGTAAACAGTAAGATATTCGATATTTGTGTTCTGAATAACGTTCGTAGCCTTTGCCGGTCGAGAAGCTCGAGTAATCGTACGGGTGTGGCGTCATTTCGGTTCGGTTTCGAATACGACAGTTCGACGTTCAATTCGGGTGTTTATTCACAAATAAAAATGAAAAGAAATCGTACGATATCAAATCGAATCGGTCGACAATCGAGTTATCTTAAGGTTCTGAATCGACCCCCAGTAAGCGTTATAAAGTTTTAAGCCAAAGTCCACTACCACGTCTTGTGGTCTTGACTTGATTAAGGGTCGAAATACAATACCCCCCAGTAAGCGTTATAAAGTTTTAAGCCAAAGTCCACTACCACGTCTTGTGGTCTTGACTTGATTAAGGGTCGAAATACAATACTGTGAATCGGCGCGATACGAATACGCAACGCAGAAAACTGCGATGTGCGACTTTCTACGAGCATTAACCGTATAGAACGTATTTTTTAAATAACTCGTCCTTTTGTATTTGGACCCTAAGGCAGTCACTATATTTACCGAACCGCAATCGCCTTAAGTCTATTATATCATTAGTATAGCATTAGAGGTCCTTGTGAATGAGTTCATTCAGTGTATTACTGCCACCTTACCTATTTCTGCCGCCAAGCAGTAATGTCAGTATTACTGTGTTCCGGTTTTGCTGGTGAAATTACAGGGACATGGACCTTATAAACTTGTGTCTCAGGGTGACGGGCGTAGTGGCAGTGCCCCTCAGATCTTTGCAATTTAAAGCTCTGAGTGGCATCAAGCTCACGACTTGTTCGTCCCGAAAAATCAGAAAAAGCTTTATGACCGAGAAATAAGATTGAAGATGTTGTTGAAATCGAACGACGCGACTCGACACAGGCAAAACGTTTTATACCGGTCTTATTGTAAGGAAATTAAACTTTTTCTGGCCGGCTTAAGTACATTCCGAGTTGATAAGTATGGTCACTACTATTGTTTTTAACTAGATTTTGTTGCAGTCTGAACTGTGATCTAAAACCCTCTGTGCACAGAACACTGTCTTGAGTTCTGTGGTAGAGCATAATATAGAGTTGAATTAAAGGGTTTTTCATATTAAAGACTTTTTTCTAAAACTAGGTGCAGGGTTAGGAGTGTTCTCCACGCTAACTCTACCACAAGGTGTTCGTTTTGGTCCATACAAAGGCGAAAAATCTTTAGAGACCAACTCTTTTTATTGTTGGCAGGTAGGTGAACAAGATTTTCTTCATTGCCTTTAAATGTTTAATAATGTTCTATTGACTGCGCATTGTATCGATAACCGTATTAATAATATTTTTTTAAAACTATGAATTTCCAAAATTTTCGTTAATTATTTTCTATGTCTATTTTTAAGCACCGTCAAGATATCCCATCAAAATACTTTATATTAAGACACTAATAAATAAATTCTAACTATCTCTATTAAAAAACGAAACAAATGACGAAATATTTAAAAAACTAAAATGATTTATTATTAAATAATGTTATTTTAATATTGTTGAATTTCTGATCGAAAGCTTCTAACCTAAAGAAACAGTTGAAAACGGCCCACTCATATAGCGTCGTATTCCAAAACTCTACTCAATGCTTAAGTCGGGACTTGGGTATGATTTCAAGCACTGGAAATACGACCGTAATGGCAAGGACTTGAGTATGATTTCAAGCACTGGAAATGCGACTTGAGTATGATTTCTAGTGCTTTAAATCATACTCAAGTCCTGACTTGAGCATTGAGTAGAGTTTTGGAATACGACTCTTACTCTCATCCTAGTTTGTTGTGTCCGAAAGGGTGAAGATGTGATTATTTTACTATGTGTAACCACCTAAGTGTTGGTGGTACACTCGACACAGCCAGCTTGAAAACTACGCTACGCTTTCTGTCACCATTTAAGTAACTTGCTAGGCCACATGTCGTCTTGTGGTTGTATGTGTGTTAAAGGGGAAAAAAAACTATTTTTCAGGTTCAAGGCCCGAATAACAGACACGTGATAAACGCAGCGGACACTAACAAATCCAATTGGTTGAGATACGTAAATTGTGCTCGCCATTGGCACGAACAGAATCTCGTCGCTTATCAATATAAAGGACAGGTTTATTACAGGTACAACTGTCATCATTTTTCACATGTATGTGGCAGGATGTTGTTATATATACACCTATACCCTTTAGACAGATCATGTTACAAAAAAAAAAAAAGAACTAGTAGAAATAAAATTTAAAAAATACTAGTGTGTGACACGGTAACTGTTATAGGCAGGCGTATTGCTTATCATCAGAGCAGGCACACGACTTACTTGTTCGTTCTGTCACTTAAGAGGGAGCATGCCAAAAGAGTTTTGACGTTGGCTCCGCCCACATTTGTGAGACAAATATATGCCTGAAGTTCGCGTGACATGCGACAGTAGATGTTGAATTTTGCGCATTAAAAGTACCAAATTCGTTTTAGCGAAATAACTCTAAAACTAAAGGGATTAAAAAAAAATCCGTAGTGACAGTTCTCGATCATGCATAAATATAATTAATTATCTAATTTTTGTCCTAATAACCTGTAGCATTTCGAGGATAAATCGAAAAAATGTGAAAATTAGAGGTCATTTCGTGATTTTTATCTATCGAGGAAACTTTATTATTTTATATTTCTGATTAGTATCTATGCTTGAATATATCATGTAGTTACTCATACAATATTTTATTTTTAACTTTAAAGTGGATATAGGTTCTAAAATCAAATCGAAGATTAGGAATTTTTCCTCTGCTCCCTCTTAATATTCATTAAAAAAATTAAGTACATTTTTGGAGCATCAAAGTTATATGAAAACACTCTTATGATTACTATTGAGTGCCGTACAATCAAGTAATTGGACCTACTTAAAATTACGCATCTAATCTCTTTTTACAGAACAATAAAAATAATTCCAAAATACACGGAGTTAATGGTATTCTATGGCAGTGAATTTGCACACACGCTTAACATTGACTTGATGAAGTATAATACAAATTTTGAAAAGAAAGAGAATACAGGCGGTAAGTATAAAATTTCTCTTGTTTAATTCACACTTTCACGATTATAACAATCCATTTTTTAGTCCATTGTCTTAGAGTTTATTATGACTGGAAAACCAACAGTCCAACCTGGACGGACGGTAGCCTTCTTTGGTATACCGATGGGTCTATGATGGGACCCAACGTAAGCTGCGGTATACACGGCGTGAGACCCAGGCTCAGCTATTAGCTGAATTTGGGACGACACTCCTTTATCTTTCAGGCCGAAATGTACGCCATAATTGCTTGTGCGGATTTAAACCTGAAGAGAGGCTACGTTAACAAGTATATTTACATAAACTCAGATAGTCAAGCCGCTCTACATGCACTAACCTCTGTCACCCAAACATCGAGGATTGTAGAGAACTGTGTGACTACACTGAATGCTCTCGGGGAAAGGAATAAAGTGGTCCTGCGCTGGGTTTCACGTCCCTGACGTCAAGGGAAATGAGGCAGCAGACGAACTGGCAAAGGCTGGTGCTAGGGAAACCGTTATTGGACCCGAACCCTTTATAGGGGTAGCATACAGCCTGGCAAAGCTCACTCTGCAGAACGAGAGCATACACGTCTCCCGAGAAGTGTGGCTACAGAGTAAAGGTCTTGAACATTCAAAAGCCCTGATAGCTGCCTACAGTGCCACACACTGTAGAGAAGCTCTGTCATTAGACAGGAATGGCATCAGAATGCTCACTAGACTTCTTAACAGGATATTGAGGCGTGAACAAGCACATGTCAAATATTGGGCGGAAAGGGAATAGAGAGTGTAGATTCTGCCACGAGGCGGATGAAACTCCTGCTCATCTTCTCACCCAATGTTATCCCCTGATAGGCGTACGAAGCTCCATACTGGGAAGGCACATGCCACAACCAGAGGACATTAAATCTGTCGGAGCCAGAAAAGTCCTTTACTTCTTCAATGCTATCGGCCTTGGCTCCGAACTGTAATTAGTGGTGATCACTATTAGTGTTGTTCAAAAACTTTCTTTTTCTTAGGTGAAAAAAAAAACAATAAAATAAAACATGAAAGAAATCGTTTTTTTTCTGGAGTACGTTTTTTTCTAAAAGTATGAAAATCAAAATATGACAATAGTATTTTTTTTACTACATTTCTTCTTTTGTTGTTAGTATTCTTTTCTTCATAGATAAATTGCTCATAATAAATGGGCAACACTCATAGTGTTGTCAATATGTGGCGAACATGGTGGCGAATTGCCAAATAGCAATTTCAACTCGGTTGGGCATTTTATGGGATTGACGCTATGTGGGGAAAATGCGGGAATTCTAACATTTTACCTTTTTATAAATCTATCGATTGCTGTTACTTTGATGATTACTGATAAAAACACTAAAATTTATTTATCTAAGAGAGATATC